ATCAGCGGGGTTGATCTGGGGAGCGCAAATCGGCATAGAACCCAGTTAAGCTATGGCTGTAGTTGAAATCACAATGTTTACAATGTTACTAAGTAACCTGCCATGAAAATTATAGAAGGCAGAAAACAAAACGTTAAAACATTGTGATTTCAACTACAGCCATAGCTTAACTGGGTTCTATGCCGATTTGCGCTCCCCAGATCAACCCCGCTGACGGGTGATTGCTGTGGCAAAAAGATCGATAGAAATAGCTGAGAGACGTGCGAAACAAAGGACCCGCATGGTGTGGTGGTGAACGCGTTACTCCCCGGAAAGGATAATAGCGCGTTCGTTCCCCACCATAGACACCTGCGGTCCAGAGTTTTGCAAATATCTCAGCAAAGTTGTGGTTGTATTTCGCTTAGTAACCTGCCATAAAAATTATAGAAGGCAGAAAACAAAACGTTAACACATTATTATTATTATTATTTTAAAAAGCAACCCAGCTGACAAAACGTTTGTTTTGCAGGAAACATTGAAGTATAATCGGGTGTCGATACTTTTGTTTGTTGTGGAAAAGTTTGAAATTGTCGCTTTAACGTGGTGTATTAACAAGTAATGTTTTTCTTGCGACTGACATAAATCTCCTTTGCTGTAAAACTGAGCGAGAAGCAGTAGTTTCTTATAGTAACGAGGTCTATTAGTTGGTCTCCAGCTGCGAACCTACAGCTCCACAGCAGAAAGTTGTCATCTATTGCGAATCCACGACCGAACGACAAGCGATCTGCCATATCATTAACCACTTCCCCCCACCTCATGAATCCTCTCTTCTTACTGTTCTTTCGAAGTGGACTTTCTTTAAAGTCTAGTCTTCTAGTTTCTGGTTCTTGTCTAGCGCGTTACCAAAAATCTTACAACTACTCAAATTTCACCTTTACGTATTTTATATTCGTTGTTCTTTCTCACTATCGAATCTGTGTATCGGTCGAGTAGTACTATTTTCCAATAGGATCTGATCGTTTGCGTTTATGTTTGTCTTTGGACTATTCGGTTGACTACTAGGTTTACAATTCACTCGTCAGCTAGACGAATGTCGCTCTCATCCGTAATAGTAAGGAATTGTTTTTGACGGCTGTCGCCATCATTCTGTGTTATTATTTCGATATCAATGCCAGTGCACTGTAATTCTTCGCATGTTTACTGTACAACTTCTATAGGTGCAGTAAAGTGTTTGTTCTAGGGCAGAGGTAATGAACTGTGAAACAAAGCATGCACTACACTGTACGGCTTTGCTTGCATGGATTCTAGGATTTGCATACTTTTGTGGCGTCTTCACTGAACCACACTCTTCTGTTACACTTCGACCTTTTGAGAGGTGGGTTTCTAGGATCGTATTCCATCCAACAACTCAATTCGCAAATCTGCCAATTTATATCCTACTGATTTTTGGAAGTTAGGTAGATCCTAGTAGAAACCACTAGTAATCCTTTGTGAAAAGCTATGTCGTTTCAGTTATGGATACACTTGGACTACATTTCTATACCTGTTACGTTTCACCGCGTTACTGGTACTGCCACAATGCCTCTGCAATCTTCTTGGTCTTGTTTTATTCAATGCTTTTAGGGAAAAGGTTAGTGCAGTTTTTTTTTCCTTAAATCTGAACTCCCTTACTAGGTTTTTATCCAATCCTATAGTATAGCGCTTATCTTGAATATATCTGTAACGACGCGGATTGTTATAAATGCATGCATGGCCGAAGATAACGAACCTAGTTTCATCTAACCTTTCAACTTTGCGTTCTCACATTTTAGCTCATCATGAAGTTACTAGTTGAAATCAAAGCTTTATAATTAGAAAAATCTACACATCTTTACTTACGAAGATTAAAAAAATTTAGTTGTCCTACTAAAATGACGTGCCCGCTTCCCAACGTAACGTTTGTTTCGCTCTTTTTCCTCGGCCGTCGTATCTCCGGTGGTGGAAGTCTTGAACAAGCGGGATTTCTTCTTCAGGAAGCGATTAATTAGAGTGAAAACTATTCATAGAAGATAAAACTGCTGTCTTTGAATGCATAACTAACCGTTCCACGACTATGCATATTAATTTCAATGTGTACGCAGCTGTAAATTTCGGACCATACATCTTGACTTCAATGCGCAGCTCAATTGCTCTCTATTTATTCGCAGTCCGACGAGACCAACATGCGGAAATGGCTGGCTGCGGTAGTGAAAGGGTTAATATTGATGACTTCAGCTTTTGCGTTGAAACTTTTGTATTCTTTCTTGTTTTATTAGTAGTTTTCAATTTTTATCCCTAGAAAGAACAATAGAGTCGAGGTGGTACTCTAGAAGAATCATATATTATGTATTCAGAATGAGGCGAGATGTTTTCTATAAGCTTGTGAAGTCGTCAGGTCTTCGAATTCTATAACTAGCGAAAATCCAGCATCGTCACGAATGTCTTTAAGATTATACTTGTCGTTCTGCCTACTTTGAAATTTATAGGTTCCTCTCAAAGCTGCACCTTTGCTGTCACCGTTTGTGTGTTTTCGAGTGGTGACGAAAGGGCACTTCCCACTTCTTGTTAAGGTAGAGTCAATGTCAATTTAGTAGAAAATTTTCCTAGTAGGTTTGTTTTTTTCTTCTCTGATTTCACAAGGAACGTTGTTGTTGTACCTGTTAGTACAATTTATTCTATCTATAACATGGTCGCGTAAACAATTAATAATTACAGTAGTAACGGTATCAGCAATGACCAATACTAACACTGTATTAGCTTGTAACATATGAAGTGTCCGATTTTAAATGCAAACTTTAAATAACCATAACTTTTTTCATAATAATTTTTATTAATCGAAATGAGATCAATTAGAATCAGCACCCTTTTTTTTCCAGCAAGAAACAATTTTATTTATTCGAGTTATACAAAATTTTGGAGTTCCGGAAGCGATGAATTCGTTGAACGCATTTTTTTCGTCGTCATGCTTGGTGGAGAATTTCTCGCCCAGGACGTTGTCAAGGTGCTTGAAGAAGGAATAGTCGGTAGGCGAGTGGTCTGATGAATTTGGCGGATGAGGCGAAGTTTCGTAGCCTAACTCGTTCAACTTTTGCAGCGCTGGTTCCGCAACGTGAGGCCGGGCGTTGTCGTGGAGAAGGATTGGTCGTTTTCTGTTGATTAATGCCGGTCGTTGTCGTTGGAGTTTAAGGTGTATTTCGTCGATTTGTTGGCAATGTATCTATGCCGTAATCGTTTCGCCCGCATTCAAAAGCGTGTGATGAATCAGCCAGGCTGCAGACCACCAAATAGTCACCATAACAATTTTTGGCGCAATTTCGACATTGGGAAGTGCTGTGCGACCTGATCGCAGTCCAACCATTGAGTTGAACGTCGCCTGTTGTCGAACAGGATCCCCTTCTCGTCGCACGTCACAATTCGATCAGGAAAGGGGTCATTTTTGTTGCGCAGAATGAGAGGAGGCGGCACTTCAAAGGAGCGACTTTTTTTATTGTCATTTAATTTACGTGGTTTCCACTTGTCGAGTCTTTTTTGTCGTTCCTATGCGACTCAAATGAGTAGAAATTGTTCCTGTGTTTACGCCAAGCTGTTCTGCGAGCTGTCGAAAAGTTTTCGCGTGTTTGCTTCCATTTACGCCTTCCATTCGCTGACGTCAAGTTCATTGGGACGTCAGCGGCTTTCCTTAACTTCTACGTCGAAATCACCAGATCGGAATTTCTGGAACCATGTTCGTACTGTTGGTTCATCAGTACTGTCTTCACCCTAAATTTGATGATATTCCGAGTTCCTGCCGCCGCATAATGTCCCTTCTTCCACTCGTACAAGAAAGACGCGAATATCACGTTGATTCATACTAAATTTAAGGCCTATAAAAATGTTAAGTTAATAAATCTTGAGAAAAACCAATGCTAGCCGTAGAAAAAGCAGACTTTATGCTTCAAAAATGTGTACTAAACGTACATAAAGAGCAGAATTTTTATTTCAAAAAATTGCACGGAAAATTAAAACAGAAGAATCGGACATTTCATATATACCAACCTAATAGAAATAATGATTGTAATAACCTCCCAACGGTTTACCGCCTCATCGTGGCTGGTGGGAGGTGTTCCTGGGTGTCGGTTTGCGATGTACAGCGGGTGATTCATCCCCTGGCAGGGTCTCCCAAGCTGAGTCCGGCGTTTTCATCAGGAAACCTGGCTAAGATTAAACCAATACCAGGATCCACCACAGTCCTGGTATCAAAGTCGCATAGCGAATCTTCCTCTGATCCACACAGACTTTAGCCAGGCTGACCTCAAGATTCCAGGGGACTACAATGGCTAACCAGCAAATCTCCGAAAAATGGCGATTATGCTGGGGCCCGCACAACCAGTAAGAACGGGCCATTTAAGTATCAAGTAAGTAAGATAGTAATAACAGCGATTATAGTAATAGTGGTTGGTATAGATACTATTAGCAAATAACGAAGGCTACTAGTTTTAATGGCGGAAAATGTTACTAATGATAATGACAATGACGTCAATAGTGAAGATAAGAGGTTAAAAAATAGTAGGGAAAATAGAAAAAAGATAAAATAAAAGAATAGTAGAAGTAATTATATTAGTGGTGATGGTCTTGATAGTACTGGGAGTACTAGGACTAGGATTGTCTAAGTATAGCAGAAGTAAACATTACAGTATTTTCATGCAGACAGATTGTTTCAGTAATGTTACAGTTTTCAATGCTAGTGCATACCTGAGAAAGCGTTCTCTTATCAGTTGTCATGTTTATTATATACGAAACTTACTTGATTTTTGAACGGCCCGTCCTCATTGGGTGTGCACGCCCCAGCGTAATCATAATCTTTTGGAGATTTGCTGGTTAAGACATTGTGGTGCCCTGGAATCCCAAGGTCAACCTGGCAAAAGCCTGCTCCAGGTCTTCACCACCACAGGCAACCTCAGCCTTAATGAATCAGAGGGAGATTTGCTACTATGTGACTTTGATACCAGGACCGTGGTGGATTCTGGTATTGGTTTACTCTTAGTTAAACTTCCTGGTGGAAACGCCGGACTCAGTCTGGGAGACCTTGTCGAGGGATGAATCCCCTCGCTGTACATCGTAGCCCGACACCCAGGAACACCTCCCAGCCACAACGAGGCAGTAAACCTCTGGGAGGATCATCTCTGATAAGAACAGGAATTGTTAAAGCATATGTGTTCTACATAGAGAAGCGCTGATTTTCAAGATTCTATCACCATGAAAATAACATTTTTACCTGTTTGGCTTTGTATTCTCAGTTAATACTGTCTGCAACCTTTAATTTCACTTACATGGATAATGGGAGTGCAGTCCTTGGTTCTTTAATATTATTACTTCGCATTGGAGCTAAGATTCTTATTATGGCAGCAACGCAATAACATTCGATCTTGCAATAGTGTTCACGGTCGCTATCGTTTTCCTGTTTGGTATTTTTGAATGGAAATCTGAAAGGGAGACGAAAATCAGCTGTAGGAGAAGGGGAGGGCTACGCTATAGGCTAAGAATGGTTATTGTTTTGAAGGATATGACTTAAGCTTGTGATAATATCATCTCGTGCGTATTGAAAGAAGCGCGCATAGCGCAGTGGTTAGAGGCGCTTTACGATACGCATGGGATCGATCCAGTGCCCCCGGCTCGCCAAGCCTTCCATCGTTCTGGATTCGGCAAATTGTTGCCAGATTTGTTTAAGAAGATAGCAGCACTGACTCCATACATCGTATGCACCGCGAGTCATTGTATAGACCAGATGTGCATTAAATCGCCTCTTAATAAAGTGGAATGCATGTCGTATCCCTCAGAGAGTGATCAATGCCGAGAACTTTATCCTTTTACTTTTATACATTTTGGATAGGTGAAGGTATCCATGGAATAACTGCGAGAATTTGCCGATAATTGACTGTTATCTGTTCACCTGTTCACTGATCACTAGTTGGTCTATTTTTCGCGTAGATTACTAGTACACATGAGTCACACTCTGATCGAAATCGATGATAATGGAGTGGAAATGTGCGGTATGTGGAGTGACGAGGTGAACTCTGCGGGTTGTAGAGTTGACGATGTCGTTGTTTTTTTCAGAACAGGACAGTGAGTGGAATGGCTGATAAACATTCAAACTGAAAGGGACGAAAATTATCCCTCCTGTTGGTGTATATGCAGTATATCAAACAGCATAACGTTTTATGAAACGTTCGAAATAACGTCGTTGTTGTTTCTTTCCCTTTCATAAACTAGACGCTATTTAATGACAAATAAATTATAAAATATCTATGGGTCGTTCTACATAATCACCAGTGTGAATTTAAGGAATGTTTTCCTGCTATTTGAAAATACATTTCTGCCTGTATCCCACCCAGATCGAACCGCGATTACCACTTCCAGGACTCAGTAGATAGAAGTTATGCATGGTATATTTCTGTCCTTTGAAAATATAAAAAAAAGGTATCGCGGTCGGCGTTTATCAATCCCTGAAGGGTGCGCCATGCATTCGACTTCGTTAAGCATTGTTTGGAGGTGATCGAGTGCATGTCTGGCTTTTACAATGACTCGCGGTAGCCTACCGAAGTATGGAGTCAGTGCTGCTACCCTTTCAGACAAATCTGCTAGCAATTTGCCGACCCCGGAGGGATAGAAGGCTTGGTTGGCCATGCGCCCAGGGATCGATTCTACTTGTGTGCTGCAGAACGCCTCCGACCACTACGCAACATGCGCCTTTGGAAAAGCTATATGTTGCATTAATGTAATAGAGCAAGCTCATTTATATGCAATTATAAAGCTCCTGCAATGCTTTATTGATCGGTAAATTATCCTTAATTCCCGGAAAACCAGTTTCTTCGCGAGAATATTAATTAAGGAATAATCGCTAGGGTAATATTTAATAAAACGAATTAGCGTTTTCTTAATAGCTTCAGTTTGTTAAGATTAAACATTTGAACTTTATATTCTATTGTACTGATGTTTAGATGGAACACAGATGAACTGTAGAGGATGTGCAAGGTAATCTTAGAAATGGCCTTAAAGTGGTGTTCTTTTTCAGGAAAATATAGGAACTAACATGAAAACGTGTTATGATGCTGGTATGGAGAACTTTATATTTGAGGTGGGTTATTCCTCATAAGGTATTTGATCACATAGTAGAACTCTTTCGATAATTCTAAGCCATTGATTATCGATTTTATCAACAAATAATCGATTGGCCATTGTTCATAGTATAGGTTGTCACTGACAATGCTATTAATCTTCCTCCTCAGCCCCGTGTTCGAGAAGTGGTCGTTCCTACTTCATATAGGTTCGTCTTTTTCATTCCCTGCTTTGAATGACGTCAAATGATGTAATATTCGTTTTTTCATTCTAGAACCAAAAGTGGTGCGAAATTCAAAGCGCGCGCTCTTCAGTATTGTCTTGAAGATGATGTTAACATTTTACAGGTTCTTTTTCTCATTTTTTCTCTCGATTAGCTTCGTTTCAATGCGTAGTTGCAATTGGAGCTATGTCAGCGTTTAATTTAGGATAACGACTGGATTGTTCACCTTGATGAGGAAACATTACTAACACAGAATTCGGTGAGAACAAGATTTTTTACATAGTTTTTTTGCCTTTTTTGTGACAAATGAGCGATTATTCCGTCTTGAACATTTAAATGGTAGTTGTAACTCTCTACCTCTCTATTAATCTCGAGAAGTGGCTAGTTTCTCCTGGTCCATCCTTCCCGTCGACAGAGTGCTAGTGGACTTGTCTAGGAGGAGCTACCTCCCACATAGGAGAGTCCAGTAACTGTCCGTGACGAGGACATGGGAACGCTGAAGCAGAGCTATCTCTGAATTCCAGCGACAGTTAAGTGGGCCAGTATTCAACGATGCTTATGAAGGATATAAATTGCTGAACTAGCAGCCGAACCCCCATGCGTATCCAGAGACCTTCCTGGATGAGGATGCATTAAAGCGAACTGGAAATGTAAATGCTAATCCATGGAATATATCAAGACGAATATATACGTATATATACATATATGTATACATATATATATATATATATATATGTCGTCCCGTTGATCGTCGAATGTTTCGAACGGGCGCTAGTAAACCTTCCATTTCTCCCTGTTCCCTGTAAGAGTAATCCATTGAGTTTTGTACTCTCTAAGGACTCCTTAAGCAGCATGTCTTCCTTCTACAGTTTTCGTGGAGAACTAACGCAAGCGGATCGGTGCTCTTTTTTGTTATATATATATATATATATATGTATATATATGTATATACATATATATTTATATATTTAACAAAAACAGAAGGAAATAAAGATTTGAAAGTAACATTTAATGAAAACAGTATTCTAAACTATTCTCTGCACATTGGGAGCGACAAGGTGAGATTTCCTGTGTCAGTTTTTCAAGTCCGGAAGTAGACAAGTGTCATCAAATCAAGAAGTCATCGAGATATTAACGGCAACGGTCGGAAAACCGCCATTCTTGTAAATGTATTAAATAACGATGATTCGTCATGTCGTGTAGTGGTAGACATCAACAAGACATTTAGAAGACGTGAAGGTTTTTTTTGAACACTTTGTTTCTGTTCTGAAATTTGTCTATCCTATACAGTTACGTTTCGTGTGCTTTACTTTAGAGTAAACTAACAAGTATGAAGTCTAAAAACGCCTTCATAGTTATTGAAAGCTGGAAGTAGAGATATATTTGCATTCGTCTTTCTTCCTTCACATTTTGATTAAACATTGTAAAGTACAAGCCATCTGTATGCCCATCTAACATCTGGACGCAATAATATGTCAGAAGCTTCTCGAAGTATGTTATGAGCTCTAGCTCATTGATGTTAGAGAGTGATTTCTTAGATATGCGGGATACTGAACTTCTGTGAAGATGGTCGTCATCAATTTGGTCAGGGAGTTATCACGTATGCAAGTGGTGAAATTGTCAACTGGCTAACAACTTTATCGGATTCTTTTCGGTGATTACCATAATCTAAATATGTGGAATATTCAAATTTTCTTTTCATTTCTAGGTTTATTCCAGGGTGGCGGATGATATGGGCAAATTGCGCCTTCAATTCAAAATATTTCACAAACCTCTATTTGGTTGGAAGGGTTCTTTTGTTGTCACACAGGTAGCCGTGTTTAACTATACTAGTTAGGAGAAGCTTCGGATTTAGTGAATTAATTTAAAGGTTGCTGCGGAGAGGAAGGTGTCGTATGATCATGGTATGGAGGGATCCATAGCAGAAGATTGTTTCTTCTCTATGATCGCCATGAAACATGGATATACGTTTGATTTTATTGAAGGTTGGCAGTCACTCGGCGTTATTCATCTTCATCAATCGAAACTTTTAGAAACTTTCAGGTGAGATGCATGAGAAAAGCCCGTTCACAATGTGGGATTTTCTGCAGCAACGGAAACGTTGGTTGCAAGGAATTCTTCTAACAGTTCACTCACCACGAATCGCCCTTACTCACAAGGTGGCGTCCTGAAGTAACCTTGTTTCCTGGTCTTGTCTTTGCCCATCCTCCACATCCATATTGGGCAGCAAATGAAACCTAAGTACCTGTATTTCACCGATATACTGCGTTTTAGGCTCTTCTTGCATTATCATTATATGCGTGGGCTACGATGCCATTGACTTCTCTTCAAGTAAGTATTTTAAACATTTTTTTCCTTTTTTTGTCAACATTATGTGATATATATCCGGGGTTTTTTTTCAATTGAATTTATGTTAGATTTAAACAGAATGCCGTAGTCGTGGAGCAACTGCGGTCTTAGGGAAACATTATCAGGGTTTGCTTGGACACTTGGATACTTGGACGGTTCGTCCTCACGAGGTTTCTTTCCCTCGCAGTCGTCATCCACGGTAGTGGCTTTGTTCGAGCATGGTAGCGCGTGCGAGCCTCATACCAGGACGTGTAAAATAACTGCAGCTGTGGGTAAAGTTGATTAACTAGAATATTAGAATATAATAATTAGCGATATTAGCGCTTAGTTCTAAGAAAGTGTCATAGACCATTGACGGTTCTGAAATGTTGAAATGAGGTTCTTGGTCGAAATCATCATAATCCTACGTGAATAGATAATAGATAGCTTTTCATTAATCTTGGTCATTGCCAATAAGCTTCCTAAGGAAGGTTCATCATAAGCCGATGCGAGGTCGTTAATATAGCATTTATTCCATACTGCCCAATGTTTCGGTGGATTTCGCTTTCTTTGAACTGTGGAAAAGGTTATTTTTCATGACCTATGTCGCGAAAGGTTTAAACTGTGGTTTCAGTAGAGCGGCAACTTCTCCAGCACATCTGCTGTTTTTTTTTGTGTGTTCTCCATATAGTAAAAGAGAACAGCAGTGTGAATTTCACATCTTGCTATTCAGTATGTTTTTGAAGATGGTCCAAAACTCCTGAAGATTTTTGCTTGCTGATGTCTCGGATTCCAATGCGACAAAAAGGCGCGTGTGGCGCAGTGGTCCCTGCAATACACATGGGATCGATCCCTTGCCCCAGGATCACCAAGTCCCTTCATCTCTCCGGGGTCAGCAAATTGTTACCAGACTTCTCTGGGAGGATAGTAACATTTGCTCGATACATCGTTCGGCCACGGCATGTAACTGTAAAGGCCAGATATACATTCAATTGCCACATCTGTAAGGAGGGATCAACGCCGAGAACTTTATCTTTTTTATGCAACAAGACAAAATTATAGCCTAGATTTTGAATTTTGTTGTTGGGTTAATGAAAGTAATTGGTCGAGAAGACAGCACATCCATATGATCACTTTCTGGCTTTGACGAAAGGAGAATTCGCGGAAACGTTAGTCGTTGTACAACAACTGATGTGCTGACAACTTTATGTCGGCTTATAAGAACTAGCGTTTGAGGATAAAGCAGTGTTATTAACGAGAGATTCTCTGTTTCCAGGTGTTCCTTTGTCCTTTATTTCCACTTCCTCGTTGTTTACCATTCGATTTCGCTTTGTCATTTGTTGGTGCAGTGAATTTATACATGTACATATTCGGAGTAGTAAAGTCATTCTCACACAAATACAGGTACTTGCTTTTATTTCGCAGAAATCTATCTCGTTGTAGTGCTTTACTTTTTTGACATTCACCATATTTGTTACAGGAACAGCGCACTTCGATTGATGATTTACTTAACCGGCGCACTAATGACGATACCATTCAATATAATGATAGAGAACGCCGCCGTACTGGTCGGCATGTACGGTCGAAAGGACCAATTTTATATAGTTAACAAGGATATCCAAACTGTGTAGCGGAATTTCGCAGCTTCATCGAAGTGATGCATATTCACTAAGTATTTGTTAGGAGATGGTATTCTTCACTGTAGCGTAAATTTCCGACAAACGAACTAATCACAACCGATCGCGGATTTCCCAAACGAGCGATCCATGCAGAATTGTAGAAATCCTAACTTCAATGCGTTAGAAGGCTACGTACTCTTGTAGGATTGTATGCATAATGTGGATACGCCCAACAGCTTGCTAAGCAGCGCTATCCATAGATAGTCAGATTACTTACGACTGTGGTATTTCAATTCGGTCCCATGGTAACTGTGATATTCTTTAGGCTTGTATTATATGTAAGCCATTGTCTGTCCCTACTACAGTTCTAAATCCATAGCACTTTGACCGTTGACTGCCCTCATTAATCACTGAGACGTGATTGCTTTTCGATTTCCATCTATAACTTGAATCTCTCACTTTGTATGCTCATTTTCGACGTTTTGAGGTGATATCTCGAAAACTTGTATGAGTAACTAACACAAAATTGAGATGTAGTGCCAGTTTTTCCTCGCTTGGCTGCTGTTCCTTGACCATTATCATGCTTTATGGGTTTGTCGAGAGAGATCGGTGGTAGTTCTTACACTGTTGTAATAATAGCCTTAGATTATTTAAGAAACAATGGACAAAGAAGATTTTGACTACTCTTAAACTTAGTCAACTGAACTTCACCGGGTGTTTCTTTCATCGCAGCCACTTATGTACGGGTCATTTTAATCGGTGTATGGCCTTCTTGATTCGGGCCCACATCAATCGCTTAAGCTTTCATCCATGACTCTGTTCTTCGCCTTATATTTTTACATTTAAATGCTAATAAAGATTCTATGTCGTTTAAAAAATGATTTTTCCAATTGTCCATCGTGAACGTAATCCTATGGCCATACCACATCTAATTCGTTGCTCTATCCACACAAGGTGATGAAGTTACGTATAGATCGTTTTACGACATCGATTCACAGAACTAATTGGAGGCATTATAAAGAAAGTTCAGTTTAAACTAGAAAATATGACCCTCAGAAAACTACACCAGTTTAGAAAAGAAGAGAGAAACGCGTGAGTTGTCGGGGCAACGGTGCAACACGTAAAATGTCTGAACTTAATAGTCATTTCTGTAGCTGACATGTGAAATGCATTGTACACTAAACATTCGTGGAAGGTCCAAATAGACGGAGTGTATTATATCCAATGCATTCCAATTCCATTAGTGTATTTTGCTATGCAGAGGTTTTACCGTACTTTTCCATTCAGTTGTTAGCTTGTGTAATAGATGCTATGCCAGGCGTGAAAAGCTGCTCTGTACACTAAATGATTCACAAATACTCTAGGGCGAGTTAACTGACCGGTAATTTGACAGGTCTGTTGTTTCATTCTACTCTTTAGAGGAAATCATGGTTATCGTACGAAGTGCTAAGGTAGGAACTACCAAAATAGCACAACAGCACAACGTATTTATGCTGAAAAAGACCTCCAAAGACCCCCAAATTTACGTGGTTGTGTGATGGACCGTAGCGAAATGTAGTAAATAGTAGTGTGGATGACAAGCACACTCCTAAAACGATAGGGGAGAGTCTTTTCTGCAATACTGTCGTGTTACAAACAACCAAGTCCTCTACTGATCGAGAAATTATCGTATACTCTCTAACGAAAGCAAAGCACTCGATCTGCTTCTCAGACAGAGTTTGCTACTCGTTTAACTCATATCTGCCAGATGGGAACATTGTGACTAGTCGGATCGACCCTCCACATCGGAGAGATCCATGCTGAAAAGCTGCCACTGGAAGAAAGTACTAGCAGTAAACATCGGTGATAGACACAGAAAGTTCGTTAATTAATTCCTTCGAAGTCATATTGTGCCTATGAAAATCTACTTAGTGCTCTAGTTCTTCTATAGCTTAACTATGCTTTAACTCAGTGGCTCGCCTTAACTGCGTAAATTCTAAATCAGGGGCACATTACATCACAGAAAGCCTGCGTATGCAATTCTTTGCTGACGTTTTAGTAACAGCGCATAGATCGAGAATATTTTAGACAAGATGAACAAAAATCTGGATTCAATTCAACAATTGAATGGTTATATATTTATTTATGTGATCTTATAAACTGATCTTCTTAAGCTGACGCGAGGTTGGTACAGATTCGTTGTCGTTGTCGTTGTCGTTGTTTTTGATGTTATTGATCGATGGCTGACGTTTCGGCGACTTCGCCTTCCTCAGAGCCTGGACGTACTTTATGTTAGAATACTTTTTATTATTCGGTGGAAAAGAAGGTTAAAGTATTATTGAAGATCAAACTTTCAAATAGACGCCATATTGAACAGAAAGGTCACTCACCGTGATGTTATGTGCGGGACTGGCCGACACGTAGTTTACGCGAGCAAGACACGCCCCGGGGTCAAAATATCATTCTGAAATAGGGCGCCAGGTCACGCGTGATAGTGAGGCATTCGTCCTTCCGGTTCATCTTTGGATTTTTGAAATTTATCCAAAACGCCTCAAGAGTTTTGCGCGTTGATGTTTTCGATTCCTGCGCTAGGATCCGCACATTCACTTCAAAATCGTCGCCGTTGTGCTTTCGTGCCCTATGCGTACCTAGAGGGGTGTTTAAACGGATTTTAGCTTTTCCATCTAGATGTTCTTTTATGCGGACACAAAGTGGTCTACCCGTTTTCCCGATATATTCCTCGCCGCATGCATTACATGAGATCAAGTATATTATACCTAAACTCATGCAATCCCCGTCTCTCCCGTTAGGACAGATCATACAGTTTTCTGAGCTGCACAAACGAACATAGAGACGGTTTCGAACTAACTGGCGGCGTAGGGTATTGGGTGGGATGTTAACAATCGTTACATAATTTTCAAGACCACTTTTTCTTAAGCACTTTTTAATGGCGTGACTTACTGAATGGTGAATTGAATGGTGACCTCTTTGGTGGCTCAAAAAGCTCCAAAAAACTCCAAATAAAAGTGGTTGTATATAATGAAAGGCGAATAATCTATAAAGCTCGTTTGCTACTTCAGGCAACATTTAGTGTATAACACTACTTAATTAAAGGTTCATTATGGTTACATTAAGTCAGGTATTACAGCAAGGAAATTACGAAAAAAAGAAAAAGTTTCAAAAATTAGAAAAAAATTATTATAGGAAACTAGCTGAGAGAAACGCAGAGCAAGGGCCTCCGTGGTGCAGTGGTTAGTGCGCGAACCCCCGTAAAGTGAAATTGTGATTCGATTTGGCTGCGGGTCCAAGCTTTGCGAATATCTCAGCATCATAGTGGTTAAGTCAGATATTTTCATGTGCATTCTAACCTTCCACGTTAAGTACCTTAACACCTCCCTCGACTTCTCGATTCAATTCAAACAAATTTAATACAACGACCACTGTTGGGTCTCAAAAGAGGAAACCTGTTCGTCTATCATGTTTGAATCCCTATCACCTATACTACACTACTGAATAACTCAAACAGCGCTAACAGTCTTCTCTTGCGCTCATCACATGTAAGGATTTGGGTCACTCTCAGTACCTGAAGGGTATTTTTTACCTGGGTTTCTCGGGAAGACTTCTGACCTTCGTGCCAATGGTCTTCCCGCTATTGTCCATAGTTCTGAAATGCTAACTGCTCATATACAGTGTTTGTCATTAAGATTGCTTATGTCTCTGACTCAACTTATTTCCGACATCTTGACATATACGGCGGAAGACCATTGGCACCTTCTAACCACCGTCTAACTGAATGAGACACCTTTAATCCTACTCAGATAGAGACCACGTTTCTGACAAGAAAGTGCATACGGAGCCGAGTGTTCTTTATCCACTTTTCTATAGGGCCAATATTCTTGTAAGGTCTACAAACCATTCATTTCTTTCTGTTCAGCTCTGATGCTAACCTGTTCATCATATCCAGTCTTCAATCTAGATGGGCACGGATAATCGCTGCAGTTAGCGTGAATACAGCACTATGAAGAAATCCGGTTTTCAGAATTTGACTGCTTGAGCGTAATCGAAGTTTGATTTTCTCACAAGCGCTGTGAAAATCCTACAACGTTGAATCCTCTTAACTAATGCCTGGTGTTCTAAGGAAAACATCATCACCGAAGTAACGATAGTGTATCAGTATATCAACGGCTCTGACTCCAATGTAATTATATTCGCGTTAATAGAAAGTTCTCGACATTCGCTACAAATACTTTTAGCAAGATAACAACGTCAATGAAGAAGTTTTGGTTTTCAAAGTTGTTGTAGAGCCCACGAAAGATGTTTACGCATTGGGCAGAGACAGCCTGACTCTCCTGACTCTTCAAAATGTTCCATGGCCGCTTTTGTCTCAAGCCAGTCGAGGACTTTTCTTAAGGCGATAGAAATCTTTTGTACTCATGTAATACTTCAACGAGTTCCGCTATTGATATTAACGAAACTACAGGTAGTAAAAAGGAAACGTTACGCATATCTTCATCTAATACCACACTAAGCATCATTCCAAATCATACTGACATGAATAGAACAATTATAACCTTGCAATTGCATGGATGTCACAAAGTTGTCCATTGTGAACCCATTTTTATCCCGTTTCCGGTCTCGGATTGACAGACGGCAACTCATCGTACTCATAAGACCACATCGATCCGTGAAATTGACAGTATATTCACATCCCACAATAATAGTCCATCAGCATATATTTACTTACACAAGCCATATTCCTGCATTCCTCTACAACCTGATAGCAGATACCACGATCAAAACTGAACAAAAAAGTTTCTTCTTCTACCATCTTCTTACTATTTCCTCTACCAGCCTGTCTACCTACCACGCCATCCTAGAATGTTCGTTCTAACACTACTTTTCTATGCCTCTGCGATCAGAGCTAAGGATAGTTCTTCGACTTCAACTCCATTTATGTCCAATTTTCTTCTGTCCAGTCCCACAATCACAAAAACTGCTTTTGCACCAATGCAAAAATCCGTAGCCGGATTTGATCAGTCATCTACAGATCTCTTCATAGATGCAAATCAGGTGCAGCCTAAGAATTACGAAATTTCCGTAGTGCCCGAACTGCTTTCAGACCACAAGAATTTCAGATGTACTCACCAGAGTTATTATCCTGTATGGGAAAGTTGAGACTGGCGTGCATCTTTAATACAGAATTCAGCCGAATTCTGGACAAATACGTCAGTTCTGGTCGACTGGACAAGATCACTGATATGTTACGAGAAGAGGTAGTAGTCGTTGGTAACTTTTAAATACAGAAAAATTATGGTAGATAAAGAATACAGTGGTAGAAGACGGCTTCCACTTCCCCTGAAGTACTTTACACGTTTGACCACCATCTGACGACTGCATTTTTAAGGCTCAATTTCTATGCGATCTAGACGAATATAGTGCACTAACGACATTCCTGAATGAAAAAATGATGGCAATACAAATTGCACAGGAAGGTTTGACCTGTTACAATTATAGAAAACGCCTTAGTTGCCTCCATTAGTCAAATGATGTGCTACAATAGAATTAGATATGTCTCTACGACCTAAATAACAATTTCTGTGCACAAAATAAGTGGAATATTTAACGTTTTGTTTTCTGCCTTCTATAATTTTCATGGCAGGTTACTAAGCGAAATACAACCACAACGTTGCTGAGATATTTGCAAAACTCTGGACCGCAGGTGTCTATGGTGGGGAACGAACGCACTATTATCAACAACGTTGCTGAGATATTTGCAAAACTCTGGACCGCAGGTGTCTATGGTGGGGAACGAACGCGCTATTATCCTTTCCGGGGAGTAACGCGTTCACCACCACACCATGCGGGTCCTTAAGTGGATAAGTGGAATAGTTGTCCTAACTTGGATCCAAATGGCGCGTGTAGCGCGGTGGTCGGAAGCGCACTGCGACACGCACATGGGGTCGATTCCCGCCCCTGCGGCTCATCAAGCCTTCCATCCCTCCAGAGTCGGGAAATTGGTGCCAGACTTGTCTAGGAGGACAGCAGCACTGATTCTATACATCGGTAGGCCAGAGCAAGCCGTTGTAAAAGTCACATATGCATTCAATCACCTCCAACGATGCTTAATGAAGTCTAATGCATGACAAATCCCACAGGGATTGATCAACGCCAAGAGTTCTATCCTTTTTTATCGTTTAACTTGGATGCAATGTGATTTTGCCACAGTGACACTACGATATGTTCTTCTTTTTAGAGAACAATTTGCTTTTAGATACATAGTGTAGGGAAAACTGCCTTCACTTCAACACGTCATACCTACTTTAACACACTGATGTCGGATTCAACTTTTCAGTAACAGTGATGTATTTAGTAACCGCCAATCTATCTAGCACCGAGAAGGACCAACTAAACACAATGGAAAACCTCAGCGATACTATCGGCCAACGCTTTTTCTACGTACAGAAGTTCAGCGTTAGTCTACTTTATTCAAATTTAAAAACATTCGTGAAAAACTTGGGAAAATTCGGTTACAATGCTAAAAGAGCCGGCTGTTCGGAATTTATTAAAAGGCTTTGTCTCTAGAAACACTTGAATGGTACATCAATGTGGAATCGGACGAGCCTCGGGCTGTCACCAGGTGACGTCCGAACTTGCAATGCTCTGCAGAAGGTCGATAATAGATGGTATCAAATTGAGAAAAGCTGCATTAGTGGCTGATAGTGCAGAGATTGGGAGAAGTATCTGCAACTCTTGGAAAAACTAGGTAGATTAAAGGATTAACTTAATGATTAACGTGACTAACGCAGGGCTACGACCACGAACAGCCATATCGGTAGGACGACCAGCTTTAGCTCACTGTTTAGAATCATTCCGTCTACAAAGAAGACGAAGACGTCGAAAATTCAACCAATATCAAGCATGAGGCCTCCACCGAAGAAGAAGGAGAGAAAAAAAGGCAGTACTGAACGAACTAAAGCGCCCGTCACCCAGTATCCAGACACAACAGTCACTGCACCCAGGAAAGCAATGGAGAAAATTGTCCACGAACTCCATGTCAAATCAGAGAGCATGCATATGTTGTCTCAGAGATTTTCCCTAACGAAAGTCGATACAGTATTCCGTCGGTAAAGAACATCCATTTTGAACAGGATTAGACTCAATATCAGCAGAACTGTCCTCATAAACACCATTACTCGACTTTTCACACATTACCTGAGACAATGCATGGTTTCCATTCAAGGAAATGTTTGTACGACGGTATTGTTAAGCAATAACGGAGTCAAAGAAAGACCTACGCGACAGCGGCAACTAACGCTCAGTCTACGTAATACCTGCCGTTTTCAAACCATTGCCTCTACTCACCATCAATAAAATTGACAGGAAGAAAAATAGTGATGACGATAATCAAAGTCTGGATTGAGTGGAACAGACCGTATCTATGTGTTAGTGGAACATAATGAATGTCTTGAACTTATAAAAGGTTACTTTGTGTCACTTTTATCAGCATAAAAAAGGTGTTCGACTTATTTGAGGCAGAACTGGCCGTGAAAGCCCTGGAGAGCAAGGGCCTCCCCATTGAATACATAAAGATCCTTCATGAACTGTATACAATTTCACAACTAGAATGTTACAGTTATTATTTCTCTAGATTGATCGGGCGTGTGTAGCGCAGTGCATAGAAGCATCCCGCAATACACATGGGATCGATCCCCGAGCTCCTGTCCTGCCAAGCCTTCCATGCGTCCAAGGTCGGCCAATTGGTACCAAACTTGTCTGCGAGGATAGCAGCACTAGCTCGATACATCGGCAGGCCACCGCGAGTCATTGTAAAGGGCAGATATTCATTCATTCACCTCTAACGATGCTCAATGAAGTCAAATGCATGGCGCATCCCCGAGGGATTGATCAACGCCGAGAGCTCTATCATTTTTGTTTAAATATAGTGTTTCAACAGAGCGATACAATCTCGTTAGATTTTCTTCGCATTTTTGTTGAGCAAGCGCGAGGTGTTACTATTCTTTGTTCACGATTAAGCTGACGTTTCGGCGGATTTCGCGTTCTTCAGAGCCTGGAAAGGTCAAGTTGATAGCAATCCACTCGGCCAGACGCCTCCATAACCAAACAAAGAAACTCCAAACCAAGATTTCAATCACTTTGAACACAGCTTTGCACACTCACCGCTTTCTACGAGGTTTCCACTAAGTATGTCACGTAGAGACCAGCACAGAAATCACGTGGAAGTATAATGTGCCCCTGACATCAGAAAAGCAGTTTTATATACTGCCCTATATCACGCGTGATAATGAGGCATTCTTCCCTGCGGTTCATTTTCGGATTTCTGGAATTAATCCAGAGTGCCTCGAGAGTTTTTCGAGCCTGTGTTCTTGATTCGCGTGCGAGGATCGTGACACATACTTCGGAGTCGTCCCCGTTATGTCTCTGGGTACTATGCGTGCCTAGCGGGGTATTTGGTCTATTTTTGCCGGCTAGGTGTTCTTTCATGCGGACACAGAGGGGACTACCCGTTTCGCCAATGTATTCGTCACCACACGTCTTACAGGAGGAGATCAGATAAACTATACCCGAGCTCATGCAATCACCGTCTCTACCACTGGGGCAAATTATGCAATTTTGAGTTGCACATAGACGGTCATATTGGCGGTTACGAACTAGCTGGCGCTTAAGATTACTCGGTGGTATTTCAACTACGCTCACCGAATTCTCTACCGAAAACTAAACCACGAATGGGCCAAAATGGCAAGGGCTGCTGGTTTAAAACCATCAGTTATCTCTCAACTTAAAGTTGACTTACCAACATGATCTCGGGCCGCTACTCTACTGTAGGTATGTAGACGACTGCTCTGTCCTTTGCTCAACACAAGAGGAAATGGAAAATGCTTCGAATTGTTAAACGCACAATCGGAGTATATCAAGTTCACCCGAGAAAAGCCGAAAGAAAAATGGCTTCCATTTTTGAATGTACAAATTCACCTATCAGAAAATGGCTACATTACAAAGTGGTACCGAAAGCCAAGTAGTAAAATATCTTGGTTCATTATCTCTCCTCTCACCCCTCTCACACGAAAAGGGCGCTTATAAGAAACATGTTTCGAACAGCAACCAACGTGTGCACGGGAAGAGAGCAGAGAGAGGAGTCCCGAAACTTGGCACGGCAAATAGCCATTTCTAATAGCTTTTTTAAATAACCGTTTCTAATGACTACGAAACTGTAGCTCAGAATAGGTGTAGAGGAAATCGTAGGCCTCCAAACGACAACTCTAGCGATAGAAGGGTCCCGTTTATCCTACCCTTCATCTCAAATGATATAAGTACAGCTATAAAACGCTGTTTAAGAAGGGCGGGCTTAGAGAATTCGGTGAGCGTAGTTGAAATACCACCGAGTAATCTTAAGCGCCAGCTAGTTCGTAACCGCCTGTNTGGCGGTTACGAACTAGCTGGCGCTTAAGATTACTCGGTGGTATTTCAACTACGCTCA